CAGCTATTTCTTGATACCAAAGACGCATTTTTTGAATGCACACGCGCTTTGAAAAAAATGAAAAACTAAAAACTTTTGCGATTACGCGATTGTACGAGGGGAATGGGGTACTATTAAAGTATTTACGGTAGATAATATTGTACTTTTACTAGATTTCAGTATTTGTCCAGTACATTTGCCATTTCTCCTTTCAGCTTACCAGAAATCCAAAAATTTTCAAAAATTTCCCCATTAGACCTAAATTATTGATAGTACCGTATTTATAGTATTGATAGCCCACTTTTTGTACTAAATCAGCTTTAAATTATCTGTTATCAGCAGCTTCGCCGTTGCAGCAAAAGAATTTTGGAGGAAAAAACAAAAGAATTCGAAGGAAAGTCGAACCAGAGACCTCTCTCTCTCTCCCGTCGTTTGAGAGACGCGCGCGTTAACCACTCGGCCATGACATGGCGCAGTGCGATCGATGACTAGCCCATACGATCCGGGTTCGACTTCCGCTCATATCAGCAATTTTGGTTTTTTGATAATTTAAAAGCATTTTGGATAACTATATGGGGTTCTAAGCCAAACAAACTATAAGTTATTTGAAGGGGGACCACTGGGTGCGGAGGAGTAGTGCGCACAGACAGACAGACAAAGAAACAGACAGACAGATAGACAGATAGACAGACGGACAGACAGACAGACAGACGGACAGACAGACATACAGACAAACAGACAGACAAACAAACAAACAAACAGACAGACATAGTTCTTTTATCTAGTCGATAGCTATTCCACTTTGAATGAAGATTCAGTAAATCCAGAGGATTTAGCATTCCCTTTCAATCAAGACAAGCGATTCCCAGCGATTTTGTAACATAAACTTATCGAAATCTCAAATTTTAATCGAAAAATGTCTCTCGAAACCCACATATTTTTTCAATTTCCTAATCTCTAGAGTCTAGAGTAGAATTTGACCGTTTAAGCCAAGAATTCTGCGTAGTCTACTCGACTTTTCCCCTCTTTTCCCAAATCTCAATGACTTTTCATCGTTTTCCTTTATAATCTTTCAGAAATGATCTATTTTCTAGAAACGATTGTCTATTCTGTGCTTTGTGCTCGAAAATCTATAAACACAAGCAATCTAGTGCACTGATTACTATTTTTCTTGGCTTAAAGTGCGCCAAAAGTCTTCGTTTACAGGATTTCGAGAGCACAAAGTACATTGCTTGTACTTTGTGCTCAGAATTCTCCAAACACCCGTTGTCTAGCCGACTGAAATCTCATTTCTCTTGCATAAAGAGTCATTTCTGTAAGAAAATAGAGAATTCAGCGCCCCAGAAAGCTTGCGTTTAGGGAATTTTTGAGCACAAGGTTCACCAATGATGGAGAAAAATTGTACAAAATTTTTATTCAAATTTTTATGAAAATTCTTTTTCAAATCTTTCTTTTAAACATTAAAATAACAAAAATTGAATATAAATTACAATAATTGAGACGTTAATTTAAAAATACCGACTGGGGCTACCAGTGGTGAATTTATCGCATACTATAATAATACATACTTTATTCAAACGATAAAGTGAAAGAAATCATGAGTGAAAGAAATCAATCACACTTCTTTTTCCTACAACTGAATAAAATAAACAAAAATTTATACAAAAACTAACTTACCAATCAATTGCTATCATTTGACATTTAAAATTTCATTCTTTCGATATTCGTAACCATTGTCATCCATTGCCATTGCCATTCGTAAATAAGCGTTCGTCCTTTCTGCGTTGAAACCATTTCCCACTAAAGAATTGAACAATCAAACAATCGTTAATCATAAATAGAACAATTCTATAGTTTTAAAAAAGCCAAAACTGACCGAAGACAGGAAATCGTTTTTTTCTCGAATTGACGACATTTCTTTATCTAAAATTTAAAATTTAGACAATAAATGAAAGCAATTAACAAAAGAACAAAAAGCAAACAATTCTTTTGATAAATGGGCCTTAGAAATAGAATGCGATCAAATGCGCACTCGTTTCTGCCAAAAGCAACGGTTTTCAGACAAAAGGGTTAGCTGGCGAGCTAACTTTTATAATAATAATACTTTATTCAAACGATAAAGTGAAAGAAATCATAGAGAAATGCACAGTGATACTTAATCATACAATACATACTGAAATCAATAAGCCAATTACTTACGGCAAAGAGCCACTAGATCTAAAGCATCGATACGTTTCTTGAATATGAAAAGCGACTGAATTTCTCTCGTATGTCGTTTGGGAGCAAGTTCCATAATCTAGCGGCTCTAACGGGAAATTGAATTTGATAAAGAGGCATTGGAAGCAAAGGGAATTTGCAAAAGGAATGAGCCACTTCTGGGCCCTGACCGCGGTTTAAATTTGAAAAAGTCTATAAACAAAGGGCTAATCTGTTTACAACGGAGGATTTTGAAAGTTTCTTTTTCAAATCTTTCTTTTTAAACATTAAAATAACAAAAATTGAATATAAATTACAATAATTGAGACGTTAATTTAAAAATACCGACTGGGGCTACCAGTGGTGAATTTATCGCATACACGAAATATATCAATCACAATACAACGACACACACAATACTAGGCTATATCTTAACTTAACCCACGTCATGACAGACGGCTCCCTAACCCTAAGCTCAATGGGGAACTAAATAGCTTTTTTGGTGGTGAAGGGAAGATGACGATGAAGGAGTGGCTTGTCACTTTAAAGAACTGGGGCCACAACCACCAGACTGCCCTCCAGAAAACCTCTCAACCCGAAGGGGGTGACCATGTCGCAGGGAAAGGAAATCCGAAGGGGTGACCATGTCGCATGTGGGGTTCGAACCCTCGACCTTCCGATTAAGATAAAAGACACTTAACCAGTCAGCCACACGTGCTCCGTGCTAATTACGTGAAAAAAATCGCTTTTTTTCTTACGTAAAAAAAATCTTCAATCTTTTTCCACCCCAAAAATTTCCCCAAATTTTTCGTTTCAATTAAATTGCAAAAACAGCAAAAAGAATGAGAAATTTGGGGATTATCGAAAAAAAAATACAGAATTTTATTGAGGATTACATTCAATTTTTGTTTTTGAAAAGTCTTTTCCCCAATTTTTTTCCCTAGACTTTTCCTAACTACTCTTTTGATTGCAAAAAAAAACTAGATTTCAAGGGCTATCATTTGAGATCCAAACGAACACTGTAGCGTGTACCAGTGTCGAGAAAAACACGTTCAAAGTTAGACTACGCGACTATACGCGTGCGGAGTCTCGCCTTGAACGAGTTTTTCTCGACACTGATTTAAGCTACAGTGTTCGTTTGAATATCAAAAGATAGCCCTGAATTTCAGCTATTTTTTGATGCCAAAGACGCATTTTTTGAAAGTACGGGTGCTTTGAAAAAAATGAAATACTAAAAAACTTTTGCGACTAACCAGTGTCGAGAAAAACACGCTTAAAGTTAGACTACGCGACTATACGTCTGTCTCTTTCTACGCGTTTTTCTCGTTCAATCAAGCTAAAACTTCTTTAGAAAATCTTAGAATATATTGGAGTTATAGCATTTCGAATAAAAAAATCCAAAAAACAAAACTGAGCAAAACCGGTGTCGAACCAGGGTCATCTGGGCTGTAGACGAGAGCCCTCCCTCCTGCGCCACGACCACGCAAAGTCCCTGCCAGAAAAACCCGCTCTTAACCGACCTTTTCGGCTAATTTGAATATATCTGAAGTGGAGATGTGAGAAAGGGATCCAATGATTGAAAGGAAGACATCTAATGAGAATTTCGTCCCATTCCCCCTTTTCCCTTCGCTGGCACTTCAACTCCCCTTCTTTTCCCTCAAAGCTGAAATATTTTGTGGGAAATATTCAGATTTCGATTCATTTTCAACCTTTCCTTTTGGTCAGCTCAGCCCTGAGTCACATCTTTTAACATTTTAAACTTAACTGACTTACAGAGTCAGATTAATGTGTCCAACAGATCACTAGGGTCTGTAGGTGGGCCAGATCAAGTAATGCTAAGGTTAGGGCGTCAGAAGACAGCACTAGAGCTGGCTTCAGACTGGCAACCTGCTTTGGAACAGCCCCGGGACAGAAGTCATACTTAGTCTAATAGTAAGCCAAGGCCACATGGACCTAGACCTAGCTTAGAATTAGCCATAAAATAAGCAAGTAAATAAGGGTAAGAGACGAGCGAGAGCCAGCCATTCAGTAGCCCATGTTTGAACTGATTTATGAGGCGGTTACACGCTGTTTCGAACTGCCTCGGTGGCATAGTGGATAGTATTCAAGATTATCTAGCTGATCGCATTGTTCGCTCAATGGTTCGAGTCCCACTCTCATCATTTTTGCTTGTTTTGAAAAGCCTTTGATTTGCAATATTGAAGTCTTTGAATTATTGATTTTGTCATAAATCTCGCGTTTACAAAGCGCCAAGACTGAGAACAAATTCGGAATCAGCGTAGTCGATTCTATCAGACGATTTCGTTCTGAAAGGCCATTTGAAAGCGAAGCTAAGGCTAAGCTAAGGCTAAGCTAAGGCTAAGCTAAGGCTAAGCTAAGGCTAAGCTAAGGCTAAGCTAAGGCTAAGCTAAGGCTAAGCTAAGGCTAAGCTAAGGCTAAGCTAAGGCTAAGCTAAGGCTAAGCTAAGGCTAAGCTAAGGCTAAGCTAAGGCTAAGCTAAGGCTAAGCTAAGGCTAAGCTAAGGCTAAGCTAAGGCTAAGCTAAAGCTATCTAGAATATTGAGATTCCTCCAGGATTTCCCCCCATCTTCTTGTCATTTCCATTTCCCCTTTTTCCCCATTTTCCTTTCCAATTTCATTCTACATTTTCCCCTTTCTGATATTCGAATGAATTCTCGAGTATCCCTCTTTTTATTCCCTTCCTTTCCCCACATACTCGGTTCACTGAATATTACGCTATTTTATGAAGTAAATCCTCGTGCTTTCAAAAGTTTACTAAACAAAATGATGATTCCTATCGATTATAAGATTAACTTTTCGATTTTAGATCTCAGATGGGATGTCCGAACCCCAATCGAGTCTCCCTACACACACTGCCACCGGGCACACAACCACTAGGTTTGTACTGAACGATACAGTGGACATAGACTCAAAAAAAACGCATCTAGCATCTTCTTTAGACCTTAGAATATATTGTAGTTGTGCTATTTAAAAACAAAAATTCAAAAATTCAAAGTTGAAGACATTCTGGAGTCGAACCTGAGTGCTGTACTGAAAGAGAGCGAGAGACAAACGCGCTAACGACTGCGCTACATTCAGATCATTCCTAGCTAAACGAAAAACCCCTATTAAGCGGGTTTTTTAGCTTTCCAGATCTGGCTTTGCTTAGCTTTACTTACTCTTACAAGGAAAATACCGCAGCTCACCCTTGTCGATCGTTTAATAGCAAAATCGAGGTTCTAGAATTGCTGGTCTCAATGGAGCAAAAATCAGCTGCCTCTGCGCCCGCAAACGCGAGATATCTGGCATAAAAGTTTGCGAAATCTTGCTTAAAAGACTTCTCTCTCGATTTTCTAGTTTTTCTTTTCGAATTTTTTAGTTTAAAGACAAAGCTGAATGCTGGAAACTGAATATTCCGTAAAATTAAGAAAAGCCAAAAGAATTCCTAGCTGAAGACTAGAACTCGAGCAAAAACATCGTCTTGTAGCCAAGATTCTTATCCACTGCGCCATCCATATCCTCTACGCGCGAGAGAAGCCTTTTAAGCGAGATGTCCCAAACATTTTACATTCTGCAACGTCTATTTTTGGCGCAATAGTCAAGCAGAAAGGCGTAATGTCCGTCTTGGAGCCAAGACTCTTATCCCCTGCAGAACCAGCTCTTTGACCTTCGCTGAATGCTGGAAACTATGAATATTCCTTAAAATTAAGAAAAGCGAAAAGAATTCCTAGCTGAAGACTCGAACTCAAACAAAAAGATCAACCGTTCGTCTTGTAGCCAAGATTCTTATCCACTGCGCCATCCCTATCCTCTTTTAGAAGCCTTTTAAGCGAGATGTCGCAAACTTTTTATATTCGGAACCTCTATTTTTGGCGAGGGTAAGCTGAGGAACTTCCCTGTTAAGTCTGACTTGCAAAAAGTTTCTGTAAATGGCCAAGCTGTATCTAGATTGGATCATCTAGAACCTAGATCATCTAGAATCTAGATCATCTAGAGCCTAGATCATCTAGAGCCTAGATCATCTAGAAACAGAAATTAGCGTGCTCAGCTTTAATCGAAACACAATTTCTCGAAATTAATGATGATTCATCCCTTTCAGCGACACTTCAAGCGAAGCAACGCCAGAGGTGACATCCGAAGAACTATTGCTGCGATTGCAAACGGCACTCGGCGGTAATATCGATGTACAACAGCTATTGGCGCAAATGATCAACACCGGTCCACTTGGAATGCCCCCATTTACTTCATTTGTGCAACCAAAGGTGGGAATTTTAGAAGGGTCTCCAACAGCGGTCATGGCCAAGTGGCTAAGAGTCCAGTATCCTAGGCGAGGGGTCGAGGGTTCGATCTCGCTGACAGGTTTTTTGATTCTTTTTTCTCATTTTTTAAAATCCAAAACGTCTTAAAACTATCGTAATCCAGCTCTAGAATCAAATTTTAATCTTGTAATTGAAAAATTATCTAAATAAAAATGATTTTAGACTGAAACCGATGAACACTTGTTAGCCGTTTTGCAGAATCAAATCGCGAACACAGCAGCTCAGCAACAAATCTGTGAGTGAAGAGAAATATATGAGAGTTGCAAATTTGAAGCTAAAGCCTAGATCTAAAGCTTTAAACAATATCTTTGAACAATAGTTAATTGATGTATACTGAGGTTACCGATTTGGCACACACATAATCACAATTCACACAGAAAGACCTAGAGAATATTGTATCGTTTGTGAGGACGATGTAGGAGACGATGTAGAAGGAGAAGGCTATCCGTTTTATATGAGCTTGCGGCTTAGACAAGTCTATCTATCCCTGGTTATCCGAATCCAGAGGAGAAGGGGCCTAGGAGGGCCTGGGGGCCCAGGGAGGCCTGGAGGAGACTTTTGTTTCGGTTGGCTCTTTTCGTTCCAGTTTTGGTTTCGGTTCAACCAAAGTCAACCAAAATCTTTTGATTCGGTTCGGTTGAACGGAAAAGATGAGTTTTTCGGTTTTGGTTCAAGAAAAGATGAGTTTTTCGGCTCGGTTCGGTTCTGTTCAACCAAAAAGATGAGTTTTTCGGTTTGGTTTTGGTTCAACCAAACTTTCGGCTCAATTCGGTTAACCAAAACCGAAACCGAAACCGAAAAAGAACGTTTCCGGTTCAACCGAAACACAAGTCTATTAAGGGGGACCGGTCTTGGAAACCAGTTCATCATATGGATGCTTACCTACAGCACTTGGTTCAGGGAAGATATCTGACTCATCTGCTGGATTCGAACCAGAGACTAACTGAGCCCAACGTTGCAATTTGGCAGATCTGACGTTGGCAGATCTGGATACAGTGTTTCAACGTGCTTCAATCGAAAGCTTCAAGCAAACCATCATCTTTACTCTATCAGCGAAAAGCAAAAAGCTTACGACACTCGGGATTCCCAAACCGTCTCCAATCCAATTACTAACCAAGTCCAACGTTGCTTAACGTTGCTTAACGTTGCTTAACTTTGCATCTGACGATCTGACAGGATACCGTGTTTCAAAGGCTGGATTTAAAAATACCCTTTTTCTTTCAGTAGCTTTAACATCAGCAGTCCCTTTCAATCCATCCACGCCGATCGAGACGTCCTTCACCGCGTCCACATCAAAAGTGAGGCTTTTAAAAGAATTTTAAGCTTTAAGATAATGAAAATCTTCATTTAATAACTTATTAGCTTGATCTATCTGATATCTTATCTGATATTTTTGCAGTTAACTCACTCGGAATCTCCATCAACCTCAACTCGACCGGCTTCTCAACCGCAGAGAGCTCAAAAAAGGAAACTCTTCGAATCGGTTCAGGTAAATTTTGTTGATTTTATTAAAATTTACTAATCCAACTATTGTTTTATATTGTTTTTCTTCATTATTTCTTTTCTGAGTTGGAAGTTGATCAAATTTTCATTCTTATTTTGATCTTCTGCACTGGGATTTATCCAATCAAAGTTGAAATCCATAAAAGCTAATCAAAAGCTAAGCAAAAAGCAACTTTTCTTGTTCTTTATGCTTCAGCAAACGTAAACTAATTGGCACACTACATTTAGCTAAAAATGCTTTAACTTTCTTTTAAACTCTAACACTTTTCCTTTTGCTTTTTTTTTGTTTTAAATTAACTTTTGAAAGTTGTAAAAATCGAATTATAAAGCTAGAAATTGAAATTTCAGAATTCTTTTTGCTAAAGAATATTTAAAAAATCTGCATAGTGTATAGGGAAATGAGGGAAAGAGGGGGAAAAGGGGAATGTTGCGATGAAAATCGAGGACCCATCGATTCCCCTCAATTTCTTTGCTTTCCCTTAAAAAGAGACCTTAGTTGGCCTTTTTTTCCTTTCTTTCCCTTTCTTTCTTTCCCTATCTTCCCCTTTTCTTCTCCTTTCTTTCCCCTTTCTTTCCCTTTTCCTTCCTTTCTTTCCCTTCTCTTTCCTTTCTTTCTTTCTCTTTCTTTCTCCTTTCTCTTCTTTCCCTTCTCTTTCCTTTCTTTCCCTTTCTTTCTTTCTCTTTCTCCCCCCTTCCTTTCCCCTTTCTTTCCCTTTCTTTCCCTTTCTTCCCCTTCTCTTTCTCTTCCTTTCTCTTTCTTTCCTTTTCTTTCCCTTTCTTTCCCTTCTCTTTCCTTTCTTTCCCTTTCTTTCTTTCCCTTCTCTTTCCTTTCTTTCCCTTCTCTTCCCCTTGCTTCCCCTTCTCTTCCTCTTTCTTTCTCTTCCTTTCTCTTTCTTTCCTTCTCTTTCCTTTCTTTCCCTTTCTTTCTTTCCCTTCTCTTTCCTTTCTTTCCCTTCTCTTCCCCTTTCTTTCCCTTTCTTCCCCTTTTCTTCACTCGAATGCAAATGCCGATTCCAGTCAAATGGGGAAAATACTCAGAAAAACTCCAGGATACTTTTATGAATAATTTTTTAAACCTTAAACCCTAGATCTTAAACCTTAGATCTTGTTATCAGGCTAAATTTAAGCTTAACTCTTGAGAATTTAAGCTTAAATCAAACCTAAAAACTTTTGAGTATTCAATGCGCAAGAAAGTTGCGCATTGAATGCTCAAAAGTTTGTGCTTACAGAAAAATCTATTCTAAAATACCCCCCAGCTTTCTTTTGAGTCGCTAAACGCAATCATTCTAGTGCACTGAATTCTCTATTTCTTCCTGAGTTAGCTTTGTTTCTTAAGAAGAGTCAAGTATGCTAGAAAGGGTGTGTTTGCGAATTTCAGAGCATAAAGTACAATAAGACTCGGCCAGAAGTGTTCTTTATGCTCAAAAAATGGTAAACACAATGTTTCTGAGGCACTTAAACCTTTTTATAGCTTTCGATTTTACTTTTTTATCGAAAAACTGCTCATTCAACTAGCTGTTTACGCAAATTTTCGCAAATTTTCTCTTTCGGGTAAACAATTTTTGTGAAAATCGGGACAAAATGACAAAATGGACAAAAAAGAATCGTTTTTTCGAGTTGATGAGGGGATTTTCGTGTGTTTTGAGGGTCATTTCTTTCTTTTTTTTCAATGCTATTCATGAATCTCTTTCTTTTTTTCAATACTATTCATCTCTTTGCAAACAATCAACTCATTCCCTTTTTTCAAATCAATTTCAAAATCAATCAACCATCCATAATTAAATGATACACTTTTATAAATTCCCTTTCCTTTTGACGAGCTTTCAAGTGCATTTTCTTTAGATTTAATAATCAAAATTAAAAGCTACACTTTAAACCTCTAATTGCTTTCGTTTCAGTTGAAAATGAAAGCAATTAAAAGCTTTATTTGACGATTGTTATCGATTTGGATAGAAAATCGCGCTATTTCTTTTGTATAACCTATAAAAACAGAGAAAAACAGCCTTAAAGAGTTGTGCGCCGTTTTTATATCGTCAACATGACACTTTAGCACATTCTTCTATTTTACTCTATATCTCCACATCGAAAGCCTAGATCTCCAGAATCAAGATCAGTCTAGAACATAGATTATCGAGAATCCAGATCATCTAGAGCCTAGATCATCTAGAATCTAGATCATCTAGAACCTAGATCATCTAGAATCTAGATCATCTAGAGTCTAGATCATCTAGAGCCTAGATCATCTAGAACCTAGATCATCTAGAGCCTAGATCATCTAGAATCTAGATCATCTAGAGCCTAGATCATCTAGAGCCTAGATCATCTAGAACCTAGATCATCTAGAGCCTAGATCATCTAGACTACGCCTAGATCACCCCCCCCCCCCCAAACCCCCCCCCCCCCTTCTTTTTCCCTTTTCCCCCCTTCGGGCCCCTTTTTTCCTTCCCTTCTTCCCCTCCGGGGCGCGGGCCTTTTTTCGGGCGCCCCGAGCCGCTTTTCCCCGCTTCGCCGCGCGCCGCTTCCCCCCCTAGATCATCTAGAGCCTAGATCATCTAGAGCCTAGATCATCTAGAAACAGAAATTAGCGTGCTCAGCTTTGATCGAAACACAATTTCTCGAAATTGATGATCCGATAAGCCCCTTTTCATAGCCCCTATGAATATTCCTTAAAATTACGAATAGCAAAAAAGAATTCCTAGCTGAAGACTGAGAGCAGAAAGGCGTAATGTCCGCCTTGTAGAGCTCTTATCCACTACGGCACCAGCTTTTTGACGTCCAAGTATAAAAAATAATCTTCAAGTTATTGTAATCGTAGCAGAACAGAATAGACATTGAATTGATGAATAATCTTAAATTCGAAACATTTTAATCTTTAGAAAAATCTAGACCTCTAAATCACTTTTTAAAGTCTTTACCCCACCAAAAAACCCACCAAAAAAAGACTTATTCTTTTTCAAAAAAGGATTCCCTCCAATCTGATCAACTTGTGCGTGTTTTCTCTTGTTCTTTTCTCTTTTCTCTTTTCTCTTTTCTCTTTCCTCATTGAGCTGAATCTTTTCTATCAATGTCAAACCTTGACTCTTTTTCATAGAGATCTATCGCTTAAACAAATGTTGAAGAGACTTATAGATTTACAGTAAAAGAAAGAACTCTTTTCCTACTCTTTCCTTACTCTTTTCCTACTCGTTTTTCCATTTTTAACCCTCTCACCTGTACTCGATACTCTTTTTCTCAAAACTTCATCAACTTTGCCCAATTTTCATCCAGTTTTAAATCATTTACTCGTTTTTTTTAACAACCACTAAGCCTTTTTTTGATTTCTTTTTGTTTAATCTTGCTAAAAACTAAACAAAAAACAATAAAAAACAACAAAAACCGCCTTTTTAAATGTTTTAAGCTATTTTTAAGCCATTTACCTGTCACTTTTTCATAAATAAACTCATTTTTTCTTGTTTCTTTGACGAATTAGTTGTAAGAAAGTGTTATTTTAAGATTTTGATTATATTCTTATGTAAAAGAAGATCTTTTCTTTCTTTCTTTAAGGATAGATTTAAAAAGAAAAGATCTTTTTTTAGCTATCCGTCAAATAAAAGGAAAATTTTCATTTTTTTTTTACGTTTTGACTATTTTCTTATGTAAAAAAAGCTCCGATCCGCTAAATAAAAGAAAAAATTTTATCTCTTAGATATCTTTTTATCAAATTTAACCTATTATATCCTGTAGCGCTTTTTGAGTTCTATTTTGAGCAGCTTGCCGATCCGGTTAGCAGTCTTGTCTCTTAAGCGGAAGCTCTAGAGTTCAATGACGCTAGCAAGATCAAAATGTTTCTTTTTCCCCACCAAGTGGGCTTATTTCTTTCACTGAGAAAGAGTTGGCGCATCCAAATTTGAGCTCAAATTGGTTTTTGGTCGTTCAATTTAAATAGTTTTTATATCAATCGATAGAGAGAGACTTGGCGCATCGAATGATACCAAGAACATTGAAATTGAATGATTGTGCGCCGAGATATTTGAGCTCAAAGTTAGATTGCTAAGGAGAAAAGGGGCGGGACGTATATAAGATGTCGCAGTGACCCGGTCCCTTTACCATTGGCAATTTAACTTTAAACTCAAATTTCTTGAGGTTTAGCTGTTCAATTTCAATAGTTTTATATCAATCGATAGAGAAAGACTTGGCGCATCGAATGATACCAAGAACGTTTAAATTGGACAGCCCAACACCAAAATATTTGAGCACAAAGTTGGATTGCCAATGGGAAAAGGGGCGAAGCGTATATAAAAGGTTCGATAGTCGAAATCAGTGCCAGGTTTGGCTTCTGGTTGTGCCAGATTTAGCCTGACTTTACCACAAGCTTGAACTCAAAAAAGCCCCTGAGCCAGAAGCTGGATCTGGCTGACCGAGCTGGCCAGAAGCTAGCCGAGCTGGCCAGAAGCTAGCCGAGCTGGCCAGAAGCTAGCCGAGCTGGCCAGAAGCTAGCCGAGCTGGCCAGAAGCTAGCCGAGCTGGCCAGAAGCTAGCCGAGCTGGCCAGAAGCTAGCCGAGCTGGCCAGAAGCTAGCCGAGCTGGCCAGAAGCTAGCCGAGCTGGCCAGAAGCTAGCCGAGCTGGCCAGAAGCTAGCCGAGCTGGCCAGAAGCTAGCCGAGCTGGCCAGAAGCTAGCCGAGCTGGCCAGAAGCTAGCCGAGCTGGCCAGAAGCTAGCCGAGCTGGCCAGAAGCTAGCCGAGCTGGCCAGAAGCTAGCCGAGCTGGCCAGAAGCTAGCCGAGCTGGCCAGAAGCTAGCCGAGCTGGCCAGAAGCTAGCCGAGCTGGCCAGAAGCTAGCCGAGCTGGCCAGAAGCTAGCCGAGCTGGCCAGAAGCTAGCCGAGCTGGCCAGAAGCTAGCCGAGCTGGCCAGAAGCTAGCCGAGCTGGCCAGAAGCTAGCCGAGCTGGCCAGAAGCTAGCCGAGCTGGCCAGAAGCTAGCCGAGCTGGCCAGAAGCTAGCTGGCCGAGCCGATGCTGCATATCGTTTTTCAAAACCTTTTCAAATTTAGCTCGAAATTGACCCAATTTAGCCATATAGCTGGCCGGTTAGGTGCCTTGCCTTGCCTTCTCGTAAGCGGAACGCTCAGAGTTCAATTACGCTTGCAAGATCAAAATGTTTCTTTTTAGATGGATTTTTTTTCTTTCGCAACATTTAAGGTAATAGGGTTAATAGAGGGAACGATCACAGTGCCATAAAATTGAATTTTTCGACCTTTAGATCTTATTTACTTTCCTTTGTTTGTATCTTATTATTAGTTTTCAATAAATCTATCTATCTATTTATTACTTTTTATCAACTCTTTATCTAATTTTAAGCTTACAGCTTACAGCTAGTGATTTTTTTAAGTTTACAGCTAGATTAACTTGAATGATTTGATTGATTGAAATGATTTGATTGAAATGATTGATTTAAATGATTTGATTTAAATGATTGATTCAAATGATTTGATTTAAATGATTGATTCAAATGATTCTAGGGATCATCAACGGGTGGAAGTGGTGCGTCGAGCTCTTCGGGCACTCTTCGCGGTTCTTCCCTTGAGGGAATGAGTCGTGATGAGAGGATTGAAATCGAGGATTTGGAACAGTTTGCGGCACTCTTCAAGAAACAAAGGATCAAATTTGGTGAGTGAAAAGCAAATGCATAAATCCTAGTCATTTCTGAAGCAAAAACAAGAATCCTCGCTTTCTAATCAATTCAATTCCAATCAATTCAATTCTAATCAATTCAATTCAAGTCCAATTCAATTCTAATCAACTCAATTCATCAATTCCAATCAATTCTCTTTAGGTTTCACTCAAGGTGATGTCGGTCAAGCTTTGGGTAAAAGATATGGAACCGATTTCTCACAAACAACAATCAGTCGATTTGAAGCGATGAATCTATCATTCAAGAACATGTGTAAATTGAGGCCATTACTAAAAGAATGGTTGACAGACGCGGAAAGAGCAATTGCTAATGGAGCTTCGGTATCGGGTATGTTTTGAAGAAAACAAAGCTTTTCTAAAGAACTCGAGCAGAAAGGCGTAATGTCCGTCTTGTAGCTAAGCTCTTATCCACTACGGCACCAGCTCTTTGACGTCAAAGTATAAAAAGTAATCTCCAAGTTATTGTAATCACTGCTATTTTATCACTGTTATCATAGAATTTTGAAATCATTTAATAAGAAAGTACAAGGCTTCGTCAATCAAACAAAAAATTTGGTTGGATTTGATATTTTAGGCTGGTTGCTTTTAGGCTGGTTTCTTTTAAGCTGGTTGCTGATTTTTGTTAATAACTTTTGATAAAACAAATAGTTTTTAAAAGTTAACGCTCTAAGCTATCTAAATCTTATTAAAACTTTCTAATTCTGGCAGGTTTATGGTGCTTAGAAATGAGCTGAAAGTTGGCGGAAAAATTTGACTCTGCTGATAATGACCGAAATTTCATTATCATTTATTTATTAGGTAAATGCATAAGAAGACTTTCATTTGTCGACTTTAGCTTTGCTGCTTATATTTACAATTATTCCAATCAAAGAAACACTGTTTAAATATTAGGTAAATGCATAAGAAAATCGGATTTCAACATTTTCATCAATTCCCAACGATAGAAAACGATTTCCAACGAGCTGATGCTATAAACTAGAATCGATGAATGTTATTAACTATTTGAAAGTTGTAAATCTCCTCTACAAAATAGAATAAAACGTGTTTCAATTGATCGAACGATTGAAGAAATTTGCGAGGGCGAAATGCGAGTGAACAAAAAAGGGCAAAAAAAGGAATCGAGTCACTTTAGGGACAAGTTTAGTGTGGTCAGAATACAGTTAGCGTCCCAAAATTGAAGAATGTAGACGTTACGTCCGATCTAGACTCATTCTACAGTACTGGAGAATGAAATATCATATTTGGAAAACGATCGTCACTTTCGCGTGCGCTGAAATGCCTCAAAAAATACGGTATTTCTAAATATTAATATTACCATTGTGTAGCCCTTGAAAAGAGCTTTCAGAAAATGTATAACACTAATACTTTAAACTCAAAGACAAGGAAGTTACAGACGTGCGAATGTGACGATCGTTTTTCAAATATCATATTTCATTGTCCAGTACTGCAGATCGGACGGTGTTGGGCTGTTCCGATCGAGAGTCAAGTGAGATCAAACGTCCTAGAATGAAGCCGATCACTCTCAGTTTGGATCGATATGATCGATTGGATCTGATTAAGAGTGATCGGCTTGATTCTAGATCGGAGGTTTGACCTCACTTGACTCTAGATCGGACGGATTTCTAGATGGGAACATATAAAAAGCGTTACCAAAAGACGATTTTGATGAATTTGAGCTTTTTTAAAGACTTGGAGCATTTTCATTAGGGAGATTCGAGCGATTCGAGCAGATTCGAGCCATTCGGGGTGATTCAGGTCAATCGGGCCAATCCGGGCTAATCCGGGCCAATCCGGGCCAATCCGGGCCAATCCGGGCCATTCGGGCCAATCCGGGCCATTCGGGCCAATCCGGGCCATTCGGGGCGATCCCCGATTGATCCGAATTGGCCCGATTCAGGTCAATTGGGCCAATTCGGGCCATTCGGGTCGATCGAGCCAATTCGGGCGATTCGGGCCAATTCGGGCCATCCGCGGCGATTCCCGATTGATCCGAATTGGCCCGATTCAGGTCAATCGGGCCAATTTGGGCCATTCGGGTCGATTCGGACCGATTGGGACCGATTAGAGCTAATTCGGGCCATTTGGTCCAATTCGAGCCAATCCGGGCCATTCGGGGCGATTCCCGATTGACCCGAATTGGCCCGAGTCAGGTCAATCGGGCCAATTCGGGCCGATTCGAGCCGATTCGAGCTGATCGAGCCAATTCGGGCCAATCCAGACCGATTCAGACCGATTCGAGTCAATTCGAGCCAATTCGGGTCGATTCAAACCGATTCAGACGAATCCGAAACCTTCAAACTGTTCATCTCTTTTCTATAAGGTTCTCTGAATCATGTTTATATCAATAATATATTCTGAAATCTATCCAGCCTTCCCCTTCTCGGCGTCACTATGCTCAAACTCGTTATTTTTTTGCCTTAAATTAAAGTCTCCTGCCGCTTGACTTTTCTAGAATGAACGACGAATTTTTTTGAGCACAAAGAACACTTAAAAACCAAGTCAAATCATCAACTAAATCTGTAAATTCGATGAAATTTTCAGAGCTCATCGATCCAGTGCCATCTCCATCATCAAATCTTCCTCTTTCATCTCTTCAGGTATCAAATCAAACTCAAATTTCACCAAAAACCAATCTTTCCTCAAATTCCATTGATTTATGCTGGTCTTCTGAGTCAGATTCTGAGCAAATCACGCATGAATTTCCCCATAATCCTTTGCACAAATCTTTATCGAAATCTTTATCTCAAATCTCTTGCTCCGTTTTCCGCACTAATCCCGTGAATTTGCCGGCTTTAGTGAAGCGATTGGATTTCTCTCCTTTACTCCATTCATCTCTATTACCGGAAAAATTTCGACGATCACCGATTGGATACGATTTACATTTGGAAAGGGATTTATTGTATCAAAATTTGACTCGAAAAAACCCATTCGTAGATTTACGCAGGTTTTGGAAAATATTAAAAGCTAAAAGATGCTTTAAAAGTCCAAAACTGAAAGATTCTAGAGTTCTAGACGAAGAAATGGATACTAGTGAACGATCTAGAATTGCTGATTCATTGAAATACATCTTTTCTACTGCTTATACTGGGAGAAGTCACGAGGCTGGGGGTTTAGAAGAAGTTCAAGAGTTGGAGGAGACGATAAATGACTCAACTTCTCAAATTGAGGCTAATGAAAGGCATACAGCTTCTAGAATTGTTGATTTAATGGAAGAAGATCCGCCGACTAATCCAATCCCTGGTGATCACAGTCTATTAGTGACGAATGATCCAATCGATGAAGATCCGGATTTGTATGAATGGACGAATCACCTATGGAATGGACAGGAGAGACCCTCGAATTCGGAAAGGGGAAACGATTGGAGAACTTTTTGGAATCATAACTCGTGGAATGGTACAGATTTCAATGCGGGTTTAAGATGGAGAGGACGAGGAGGAGAATGGGAAATGAGAGGATGCGGAGAGGGGATGGACGAGTATCGGGTACAAGAATGGCCGACAACGGCTAGTGGAGCGATTGGATGGGAAATGGTGGACACAACTGTTGATCTTTTCGGGGATTTAGCTGTTTTTGATGATGATTAGTGTACTTGATAGAGTGAAATAGAAAGTCAACTATTTGATTATGTTGTTGTTGTGGTTCTTAAAAAGAAACCAACACTTTCATCTGTAATTTCTACTGAATGTTGTGCTAGCTAGTAGCTAGTAGAAGCTAGTAGCTAGTAAAAGCTAGTAGCTAGTAGAAGCTAGTAGCTAGTAGCTAGTAGAAGCTAGTAGCTAGTAGCTAGTAGCTAGTAGTAGCTAGTAGCTAGTAGCTAGTAGTAGCTAGTAGAAGCTAGTAGTAGCTAGTAGAAGCTAGTAGAAGCTAGTAGTAGCTAGTAGCTAGTAGAAGCTAGTAGAAGCTAGTAGAAGCTAGTAGTAGCTAGTAGTAGCTAGCTACTAGCCAAGATTTGATGACGATTGCTTAGTTGAATTGTTTAGTTGCTTAGTGAATAAGCTTAACGTTGATTTGTGTAACTTCTAGACTTCTAGGCTTCTAGACTTTATAGAACTTTCTATAGAGTCTCTACTCTATAGAATCTGATTTTCTCATTCTATAGAACTTTCTATAGAGTCTCGACTCTATAGAATCTGATTCTCTTCATTCAACCAATCAATCATCAAATTCTGGCTATTAGTTTACAAATACTGATAAATTAATCAATAGAAATTTGAAATGAAACTATTTTTAAGAACCACAACAACCTATGGACTCGAACACTGAATATTGTCTTGTTAAACAGATCAAACAGATCAGACTTGAACGTAATGTTGTGCTTTAGTTAGTAACTAACTTCTTTACTTAGGCAAAGGAGTTAGTTACTAACTTATCAACTTATCAGCCAGACTTATCAACTTTTCTAAAATGATTTCATACGAAAACTCAAGACAAAGTAAAAAGAAGATTATGTTTTAGTTAAAAGAAATTGATTAAGTTGAGGCTTTAAAATAATAGAGTGAAAGAAAACGAAGAAAATGAATATAAAAAGGGGAAACGAACTAAGGAATCTAACTATTTAGCATAAAGCTTAGCAGTAATTCATTGATGTTACAGTAAACAAATAGTTTCTACCGTAAGTTACTGTAGCGTTCAGAGATTGGAAACGTGAGATGTATGGATCTAAGGGTTACGGTAGCTAGAGGAAGTTTAGATCCGGGGCTACGATAACTAGGACATTCTTAAAGCAGCTAGCTGAATAATCTAGCTGGGCTACGGTAGCTAGGCTTCTTAGAGCAGCAAGGCTACGGTAACTAGGACATTCTTAAAGCAGCTGGGCTTCAGTAGCTAGGTTCTCTTACAGCAGCCGGGCTACAGTAGCTAGATCATTCTTAAAGCAGCTGGGCTACGGTAGCTAGGCTTCTTAGAGCAGCCGGGCTACGATAGCTAGGACATTCTTAGGCTATCGACAAGCCCACAAACTCAATACACTTTAAACACATTTATTCACACGAATAATGTCTTACAAACAAACATAAGCGCTCTAAGCTCTAAAGAAAACCGAATATATATGGTAAAAGAATCAAAAATCTAGCTCAGGATTGAAGCCTTGACCTCCCGACTAAGATACAAGCCAGTCGACCAGTTCTAAGCCAGTCGATCAGCTCTAAGCCAATCGATCAGCTCTAAGCCAATCGATCAGCTCTAAGCCAATCGATCAGCTCTAAGCCAATCGATCAGCTCTAAGCCAGTCGACCAGCTCTAAGCCAGTCGATCAGCTCTAAGCCAGTCGATCATAGCGGCTTTTGTAAAAAAAGCTTTCATTTCACATATTTATTTGTCTTTTTGCTTTAAATTTTCTTTAAATTTTTGAAAGAAATTGCTTTTAATTGGTTAATTTATCGAAATTTATCGAAATTTCTTAAATTTTTTCACTTTTTGCATGCAGATTTCCATTTTTTTTTTGCTTGTTTGTTGTGGTGAATAAAGGAAAATACAAACTACAAAAGATTATTGATAGATTAAACATGATTAAACGTTTAAATATGTCTAATAGTCAAGTAAATAAAGCGATTTTCTCATTTAAAAAGCCATTTTCTCAAAGATTAACAATACGAAAACTCATTTTTCTCTATTTTCTTTAGAGATTTTGATTTAAACTTAAAAAACTTGACTATTTTGACATGTTTAAACGTGTTTAAACGTGTTTAAACGCTATTTTAAAAGCTAAAGTTTGTTAAAAAGCTATTTATAGCTAATATAGTCTTTAAAAACTATTATAATCAAAGAGAAAATCAAATTTTTAAACAAATTTGTAATCAAATTGAAATCAAATCAATTTCTAATCAAATTTAGACTAATTCTTGTTATAAATAAGCAAATTTAGCATTCTATTTTCTTAAGAAACTAGACAAAAAAAGCTAAAAATCACTTCAAAACTCAAAAACCTAATTGATAAAAGTTTAAAATTAAAGAATAAACAATAAAAAGAACTGCTCTTGCGTGGTTTTTGAACGACTCGTTACACTTTAAAAGCCTATAACTTCCTCTAGAGACAAGATTTTGGTTAACATATTATATCATTAAATAGAGAACATTTCAGGCTTTTAAATGATACCTAATAGAGCTTGATTGGGTAATCCAATCTAAGAAAACCGGAGCCAACAAGATATGTTACTTTGGCTCTTGCGGGTATTTTAAATGACTCGTTACACTTTAAAAGCCTATAACTTCCTCTAGAGACAAGATTTTGGTGAACCTTTTATATCATTAAATAGAGAACATTTCAGGCTTTCAAATGATACTAAATAGAGCTTGATTGGATAATCCCATCCAAGAAAATTGGAGCCAACTCTGAACCAATGAGACCTATCCAACTCGGGTGTTGTTTCGCATAGTTTGCATGGGAATTAAAAATCCAATCAAGCTCTCTTTGGTATCAATTGAAAGCCTAAAATATTCGCTGTACAATGATAAAAAAAATTAACACAAGTATTGTTTCTAGACAAAGTTATAGGCCTAGACAATTTTGGGCTTTTGCGTAGTTTCCGGGTATTTTGAACGACACGTAAAAGCCTAGAACTTTGTCTAGAGGCAATATTTTGATTAACCTTTTATATCATTGAATAGAGGACATTTTAGGCTTTTAAATGATACTAAATAGAGCTTGATTGGATAATCCAATCCAAGAAAATTGGAGCCAACTCTGAGCAAATGAGGCCTATCGGGAGCGGGTGTCGTGTCGCCTAGTTTTTATGGGAATTAAAAAACTAATCAAGCTTTATTAGGTATCATTTAAAAGCCTAAAATGTCCTCTATTTGATGATATAAAAAGTTAGCAAAAATCAAATCTCTAGACAAAGTTATCGGTCTTCAAAGTGTGACGAGTCGTTCAAAATACCTGGATTCTTTCAAAATTCTCGGAAATTATACAAGAGCCAAAACAACAGATCTTAAAACCTTTTAGACTGAATTTACTCATTTTTAGCTAAATTTTCATAAAAAAAACCTTAAAAGAGACAATAAAAAGAACACTTTTTGACTGTAATTGAATCATTTTTTGATCAGCTATTGACTTTCGTTCTCAATCATTTACTTTTCCATTTTTCTTTCTTTTTCTAAAGACCAGTATAAATTAAAGTTTCTTAAAAAACAAAGAAAGAGTTACTAAAGATAAAACTTAATTCAATTTCCAGAATCGAGACGATGAGGGAGAAACGTCAGCCTCAGTTTCACCTCTACTTTCACCCAGCACTTCTGGTTTCTTTTTATTATTATTACAGTACAGTACAGTACAGTACAAGTACGTGCAAGTACAGTACAAGTACAGTATAGTTCAGTACAGTACAGTACAGTACAATACAAGTGCATGCAAGTACAGTACAAGTACGTGCAAGTACAGTACAAGTTCGTGCAAGTACAGTACAAGTTCGTGCAAGTACATGCAAGTACAGTACAGTACAGTGCAAGTACGTGCAAGTACAGTACAGTACAGTACAAGACAATACAAGTACAGTACAAGTACGTGCAAGTACAGTACAGTACAGTACAAGTATAGTACAAGTTCGTCCAAGTACGTACAAGTACTTACAAGTCCAGTACAGTACAGTACAAGTACGTGCAAGTACAGTGCAGTACAGTACCGTACAGTAAAAGTACAGTAAAAGTACGTGCAAGTACAGTACCGTACAGTACAAGTACGTGCAAGTACAGTACGGTATAGTACAAGTACGTGCAAGTACAGTACAGTACAGTACATAAGTACGTACAAGTACTTACAAGTACAGTACAGTTCAGTATTTTTTTTAATGTTTTTTATGAATTTTAAACACTTTACAAATTAAATTATCTCAAGAATAGCTTTTTAAATAGCTTTTTTTATAATCTAATCATTTCATTTTAAGGCACATCTCCGTTAAAAAAACGCCGAAAACGAACGAATCTTGACCTACAACAGAGACAAGTTTTGGATATTGTTTTCAAGTAATTTTTTTTTTAATTTTATTATAATTATATAAAGGATTTTAAAGATTAAGAGAAAATTAATAAATTCTAGAAGTTAAAGACAAGACTAGCAATCTACTTTTGATTTTAGAATGAATCCCCGTCCTAGTCACGAACATATGGCTGAGCTAGCTGATCAGTTGAAGTTGGAAAGAGATGTGAGTTCGCCTGGCAAGAGAATTATCGATTTTAGACTAGAAGAAAACTTTAAACATATTGTAAAGGCTTTTTGCTTTGTTCTAATCAATCGGTTTACTTGAAAAGGAAACGATTCTACAGGATCACCGCCAATTCTGACGACAACTTTTTGGAAAAGTCTTTGTACGGTCTCATTCAAGGACTTGTAAAATGAGTTGTATGCATCCGATTGTGAAGCTTTTTGCAGCTAAATATAGCCAAGATTTAGGGCTACAATTCTATATATAACACTTAAGACTTTGAAAGAAATCAAGCTAAATAACTACTTCGAAAAGTTGTCGTTAGAATTCGTGGTGATTCATCAATCTCATTTAGGGATCTTGCTCATTCAATGACTTGTAAAATGAGTTGTATGCATCTGATTGAGAAGCTTTTCGTAGATAAATGTAGCCAAGATTCAGGGCTACAATGCTATATACAACATTTGATACTTTGAAAGAAATTAAGCAGCACCTCTGGAAATTTGAAAATGGCAGCGCGATAGAAATTGTGCTCATTCAAGGACTTGTAAAATGAGTTGTATGCATCCGATTGTGAAGCTTTTAGTAGATAAATATAGCCAAGATTTAGGGCTACAATTCTATATATAAAACTTAATTAATTGAAAGAAATTAAGCAGCACTTCTGGAAATTTGAAAATGGGGGAACGGAAATGGAAAGCGCAATAAAAATCCTCATCAAGGAATGATATATAAAATGAGTTGTATACATCCGATCGTGAAGCTTTTAGCAGCTAAATGTAGCCAAGATTTAGGGCTACAATGCTATATATAACATTGATACTTTGAAAGAAATCAAGCTAAATAACTACTTCGAAAAGTTGCCGTTAGAATTCGCGGTGATTCATCAATCTCATTCCAGGTGGTGCGCGTTTGGTTCTGCAATCGGCGTCAGAAAATGCGAAAAGTGGATGATGTGCCTGGAGGATTCGATCCATCAATGATTCAATCACTATTTTCAAGCGTAAACCAATCGGCGATATCACCAAAAAGAGAGGGATCAGAATCGCCGGGTTTAGAGATCGATGAAGCTGATGATGGTTAAAGGATTGAAAATTTTCTAAACGCACTCTTTCTAGCGCACTGTAATGCTCAATTTTCTTAGACAAGCAAGCCATCAATGCACCAGAAAGAATGCGTTTATGAGATCTTCAAAAAAGTACACGAAATTTCTCGATTTTTGGTTTAAAACTGGACATAAAACTGGATTTTCAAAAAGCTAAAAGTGCCTGTTTTGTTTTTTTTCTTATTTTCTTTTGATTTCTTTTTATTTCTTCTCTTTATTACCTCATTTTTCTTTGTTTTATTCGATTTTATTCGATTTTCGTCGATTTTAATCGATTTTATTCGATTTTATTCGATTTAAATGCAAGAAAACTACGAGAAATTCGATTTTCTTTAAAGAAATTCTCATTTTGAACGCTTTTTTCTTCAAATTTGTTTCAAATTCAATTCAATTTCAATTCAATTTCAATTCAAATTGAAGAATTTGAAGCTTTTCACACTGCCTCTCCCCCTTTTCACCCTTTCACCAACTCAAATACAGCCTTTTTTCGCATTTTTCTACTGTTTTTTCAACAAATTTCATTTTGCATTTCGTTTTCTTTGCGATTTTCTGATTTTCGGCCATTTTTCCTTTGTGATTTGTTAGATTTTTGATTTTTCTTTTTTCTTTTATTCTTTTATTCGTCTTTTTCTTCTTTTCTCTTAGTTCCTATTGAGATTTTTGATGGAAATTCTTTTTTTGATTCATTTGATTCATTTGATTCGTTTACCTGTGAAATGTCCCCTTCTAACTAGTCGAAAAATTTCGAAATCCCGTTTGTTTTTGAGATATTTCATATCGCCCGGTTGTCATTTATTCAATTTCGGTGTTATTTTGGGGAATTTTTGGGATACTGTAGAAAGGAATGTAGAAAAAACGAAAGAAAGAGAGAAAAAGACGGCGGAGATCGGCTTCTTAAGGCGAAACTTGACCCGACCATCCCTCTGTAGACCAGCCGAGTGGTTAGTGCCCTCGACTAGCGCCCGAGACCACCACCCATCAGGTCCTGGTTCGACCCCGGTCCCTGCACATTTTGTCGAAAAACTAGAAAAAATAGACGTCGGCTTCTTAAGGCGAAACTTGACCGGGTCCTCACCGCCCCCCTGATGGCCGAGTGGTTAGCATCCTCGACCACGAGCCCCGCTGCTGTTCGACCAGGGCCTGGTTCGACCCCCGCTGCTGCTCATTTTCTAGAAAAAATGGACGTCGGCTTCTTAAGGCGAAACTTGACCGGGTCCTCACGGGTCCCCGATAGCCGAGTGGTTAGCATCCTCGATCACCACCTGTCAGGTCCTGGTTCGACCCCCGCTGCTGCTTCTAGAAAAAATGGGCGTCGGCTTCTTAAGCCAAAACTTGACCGGGTCGTCACCGCCCCCCGATAGCCTAGTGGTTAGCGCCCTCGACCACGACCCGTCAGGTCCTGGTTCGAGCCCCGCTGCTGCTCATTTTGTAGAAAAACTAGAAAAACTTCTTAAGGTGAAACTTGACCGGGTCATGACCGCCCCGATAGCCTAATGGTTAGGCCCTTGACCACCAACCGTTAGGTCCTGGTTCGATCCCCCCCCATCCATCAAACTCGTCTTTTTCCACAGTATCCCAAACTCTACTTCATGACATTTTTGAGTATTTCCCTAATCACAAAACCCCGAGTTACTCCCCTCACAAATTTCTACTTACCCAGTGGTTTTTGTTTTGGTTCTTTCTTATGTCAAGTCATAGTCATTTTTATTACCCTAAAATTTCAGGGCTCAATGCTCAATGACCCAATTTTTCATTCATTCGCATTTCGTTGAAATAGGATTTTTCTTCTTCAATAAAAAAACGAATCTTTTCGATTTTCTTTTGTTGCTTTTTTTGATTTTCTATATTTATGAGATAAATGTTGCTATTAGGCTAAAAAAAAACGATTAAAAACAGGCAATGAGGGAAGATTTCTGAAATTAAATAGAAAAAAAGAGAACTTTATTAGACAAGAAATTAGAAAAATAAAAAATTTCAGAAAAATTTCTGAAAAACAAGCATTATTGAATTCAAAAAAATGAGAAAATGACGAAAATCTTTGCTTTTTTGGATTTTAGCGTACCTTCTTTCGATTTACTGCTATTAATAGTGAATTTTTGTACTTCATTTTAGACCTTTAATGTGCCACTCTTTGAAGATCAGAGATTGCCGATGAAATTATGACATAAATTTGGTTAATGCGAACTTAAAGAGGTGTTAGCAAAAGCGGTAAATTATTTGCACTTTTCAACACACTTTTCTACCAACTCTGATTGATCATTTCTAGTTTTTCCTTTTTTCTTGTACGATGTTCGCTGTTTTGCGGCCTTCACCAGCTCTGAAGAGCTGGTGAATGGTAATGGCCGGTGGATTGTAGTGGCTGGTGAACGGCAATGGCCGGTGAATGACAATGGTCGATGAATGGTGAATGGTAATGGCCGGTGAACGGCAATGACCGGTGAACGGCAATGGCCAGTGGACGGCAATGGTCGGTGAACGGTAATGGCCAGTGAACGGCAATGGCTGGTGAACGGTAATGGCTGGTGAACGGTAATGGCTAGTGAACGGCAATGGTCGGTGAACGGTAATGGCTAGTGCACGGCAATGGTCGGTGAACGGTAATGGCTAGTGCACGGCAATGGTCGGTGAACGGTAATGGCTAGTGAACGGCAATGGTCGGTGAACGGTAATGGCTAGTGCACGGCAATGGTCGGTGAACGGTAATGGCCAGTGGACGGCAATGGTCGGTGAACGGTAATGGCCAGTGGACGGCAATGGTCGGTAAATGGTGAATGGCAAAATCGATATAGAGAGTAAAAAAAGCCTGGGTACAGAAAAATGACTGCCTTTTCAAGGCTGTATAGCTAAATACCTGTTTTCTAATTTGTTTCCGAGTTGAAAACAGTGAGAACTAAAATTGTGAAGAAACTGATGGTTGGTTAGAAGTTGGTTGGTTAGAAAACGTTGGTTAGAAGTGGGGGAAAAGTGATTTGTTAATTTTCATAGGCGTGGATTTGGCGCAAAGGATTTTGGGGTGAAAACAGGCACTAGTCGCGGCATTAGCACCTCAACTTTGATAGACTTGAGCTAAAGGATGTTCGAATTTGATCTGCTTTTCAGTTTAGTGCGTTTACTTGTTCTTAAACTGGTTTTCTTGTAGAAATCTTCGATCTTTGTTAAAGCTGAATCAACTTTAGAGCTTTTTCGATCACTTTCTCGTGCGGTCACTCTCTTAGAACTTCTAGCTACCGTAGTCGTCCTCAATCTATCGCTTTACAATATTATTTTCATTTTTATAGTCTTTATGTGATCAGTTACAGGCTGATGGTAGCGTTTTATCACTGCCGAAAGCTTAGCTAAGTAATAATATCAAGATAATCGACCTAATAGCTATAAAAACTACATAGTATTGGTTAAAGGTAATGTAAAAATATAAAGATTAGTTTTATAATGTGAAGATAAACATTGGGATTACGGGATTACAGGGTTACGGTAGCCAGCAGGCGAAAAAACCAAGCTTTGCCCACTTTTTTTGGCTTTTGACTTGGTTTGGCCTGGATTTTGCGGCCATTTGAAAAGAATTGATGTGGGGCCAACAGTACGATACACTACTCTGGGAATTCCTTTGTCATTTTTCTCACCTCTCATGTGATGGTCGAGCGAAATGCCCAGAAACAGTTCTTCTCACGCCGAGCATCGCGATTCTCATCTCCTCTTCGACGATCTCGCCGTACCGAATGTTGAAAGACTTAAGATTGTCTTTTAAAGGACAAAAACATTAACGACCTCTTGCGTGGCTACCCGGTTTTGAAAGAATCTAGGTATTTTGGAAAAATCCAGGTATTTTGGACAATTCTTTATGAAACATGAACACATGAAAAAGTGCAAAATTAGAGGTTTGGCTTGGCTTGGCTTGGCTTGGCTTGGCTTGGCTTGGCTTGGCTTGGCTTGGGTTGGCTTGGCTTGGGTTGGCTTGGCTTGGCTTGGCTTGGCTTGGCTTGGCTTGGCTTGGATTGGCTTGGCTTGGGTTGGATTGGCTTGGCTTGGCTTGGCTTGGCTTGGCTTGGCTTGGCTTGGCTTGGCTTGGCTTGGCTTGGCTTGGCTTGGGCTGGCTTGGGTTGGCTTGGCTTGGCTTGGATTGGCTTGGATTGGCTTGGCTTGGCTTGGGTTGGATTGGATTGGGTTGGGTTGGGTTGGCTTGGGTTGGCTTGGCTTGGCTCGGCTCTTCGTCCAGCTCTGGTAGCCAGTTCCGGTAGCGGGAAACGCTTTAGAGAAGTTACATCGATTTCTATTAAAGTAAAAATTCGAATCCCTTTTTCTGTATCTATAAAACAACAGAATTGCGTTTTTTAAAATCATAGACATTTCTCTTTTACTCTTTGTTTACAAACGATTCTCTGAAAAAGGCTGAAAAAGTGGAGCCAATTTGTTTTTTTTTGGGAATTTTGATAAACTATCAGTTTACGAATTGATAAAATCGCTTTTAAAAGAGAAAATTCTCTAAATTTATATTTTATAGATAGTTTTAAAGATAAAATTATAGATTTACAATAAAAGATGTTGCTAGTGTTTGCGACAATGATAATCGGTGCTTTGGCGAGTGGAGGAGAGATTGAGGTATCCTCTAGACTCTTCTAAACTCTTCTAAACTCCTCTAAACTCTTCTAAACTCTAAACTAATCGATTCTAATCTTTTCTTTAGATCTTTATTGATTTTCTTTCTTTTTAGATTCCTGAGGATGTGGCTGTGAGAACGGTTGGAGTAAAGGGGAAACTCATGTGTGGGACAAAAGAACTCCAAGGTGAGTGACAGAAATTTGACAAGCATTAGCTTCCCTCTCGTTCTTCTTGTTCGCAAATTCTTCTTTATAAATGAAGCAAATCAATGTCTGCTTTAATTTAAATAAAAATAACTATTCTATTTAGCTCATTTTTAGGAAAATTTGAAGCTTTAAGCTCAAATCGAAACTTTAAAAGTTTCTCTTTGAAACGTTTAACTAACAGAAACTTTTCGAAGTAGTTTTACAGCTTAATTTCTTTCATAGTATCAAATGTTATATATAGAATTGTAGCCCTGAATCTTGGCTATATTTTTCTATTAAAAGCTTCTCAACCAGATGCATACAACTCATTTTACAAGTCCTTGAATGAGCACTGGTCGACCACTAACCAGGGGGCTTACATTGTCGATTTTCTAGTTGCGCAGCTTTCAAAGTATCAATGTTATATATAGCATTGTAGCCCTGAATCTTGGCTACATTTAACTGCTAAAAGCTTCTCAACCAGATTGATACAACTCATTTTACAAGTCCTTGAATGAGCACGATCCCTGAATGAGATTGATGAATCACCGCAAATTCTAACGATAACTTTTCGAAGTAGATGTTTAGCTTGATTTCTTTCAAAGAATCACGTCTTATATATAGAATTGTAGCCCTAAATCTTGGCTACATTTAGCTGCTAAAAGCTTCACGATCGGATGTATACAACTCATTTTACAAGTCCTGAAATGAGCACTGGTCGACCACTATCCGACCACTATCGCTTACATTTTCGATTTTCTAGTTGTGCAGCTTTCAAAGTAATTTCTTTCAAAGTCTTAAGTGTTATATATAGAATTGTAGCCCTGAATCTTGGCTACATTTATCTACAAAAAACATTTCAATCAGATGCATACAACTCATTTTGCAAGTCCTTGAATGAGCACGATCGACGATTGAAATTTGAGTTGAAACTTCTCGACTTTAGATCTTTTAAAAAAATGAATTAATGCAAGCTTTTTAAAAGATTTTGAAGAATAATTTGTAAATAAGTAATAGAATTTTATGATAAAAGAAGTTAGAGATTTATTGGTTTAAAATAACGTTTAAAAAATGAACAAATCAAGAGATCAAAGGTTAAAAAGATAGAGATTTTCAAGCTTTTTTACTGAAATGCTAG